TTAGGAGGCCCTGTTAGGAACCCACCAATATAACTACCATGCTTTGCTGTCTCTGCAGCTTCTCCCCAGATGAGACAAATGCCCAAGCATGCTCACCTCACCCGATTCTTACACTTACCTCCACTGTGTTTGTATTTAGATTAATTCTGATCTGCTTTAAATATGTATTTCCTTTCTCTTTGATTTTTGTAGAGTGAGGGTGCTTGCTTTTACAGACTACAGTAAAGTCCTCTGAGATACCTAGTCACCCTATTTCCCAAATCTCTCACAGTGGCCTTGTGGCTTTATATCTCTTTTTGATGGAGAATTTCCTCCGAGAATATTTTTTTCTTCCAGTTTTATTGAAATATAACTGACATATAATGTATTAGTTTAAAATATACACCATCATGGCTTGATACATGTATATAATGCAAAATGATTACCAAATAAGTTAACATCCTTCATCTCTTATAGTTATAATTTTTTTCTTGAAGGGAGAATGTTTAAGATCTACTCTCTAAGCAAGTTTCAAATATACAATACAGTGTTGTTAACTATAGTCACCATGTATTCCATTCGTCTGCAGAACTTACTTATCTTGTAACTGGAAGTCTGTACCTTTTCCCTCATCTCCCAACCCCACCTCTGATAACCAACATGTTCTCCATTTCTATGAGTTCAAATTTTTAAAATTCTACATGTAAGTGAGATCATATAGTATTTGTCTCTTATTTCATTTAACATAATGCCCTCAAAGTCCATCCATGTTATCACAAATTACAAGATTTTCCTCTTTCTTATGATCATGATATTCCAGTGTGTGTGTGTGTGTGTGTGCGCGCACGCACACATTTTCTTTATCCATTCATCTGTCAATGGACACTTAGATTATTCCCACGTTTTGACTATTGTAAATAATGCTGCACTGAACATGGGGGTACATATATCTCTTTGAGATAGTGATTTTGTTTCCTTCAGATATATACCCACAAGTGGAGTTGTTGGACCATATGGTAGTTCTATTTTTAATTGTGTGAGGAACCTCCATACGATTTTCCACAGTGGCTGCACCAACTTACACTCCCACCCACAGTGCACAACCCTTTTCTCCACATCCTCACTAACACTTGGTATCTCTTTGTCTTTTGGATGGCAGCCATTCTAATGGGTACAAGGTGATTATCTCATTGTGGTTTTGATTTGCATTTCCCTGATGATTAGTGATGTCAAGCACCATTTTATGTATCTTTGGCAATTTTTTTGGATGTCTTCTTTGGAAAAATGTCTACTCTGGTCCTCTGCCCATCTTTTAATTGGATTATGTGGTTGTTTTTTGTTTTGTTTGGGTTTTTTTGTTTTGTTTGGCTATTGAGTTCTAGGAGTTCTTTTATATTTTGGATATTAACCCCTTACCAGATATATGACTTACAAATATTTTCTCTTATTCCACAGGTTGCCTTTTCACTTTGTTAATGGTTTTCTTTGCTGTGCAGAAATTTTTTACTTTGATGTAATTCCACTTACTCATTTTTGCTTTTGTTTTGATATCAAATCCAAAAAAATCATTCCTAAGACCAATGTCAAGGAGATTACCCACTGTTTTCTTCTAGGAGTTTTATGGCTTCAGGTCTTATGTTCAAGTCTTCAATCTGTTTGAGTTGATTTTTGTGTATGGTGTGAGATAGTGGTCCAGTTTCATTCTTTTGCATGTGGATATCTAGTTTTCCCAGCACTAATTACTGAAGAGACTGTCCTTTCCCCATAGTATATTTTTGATGCCTTTGTCATAAATTAAGTGATCATATATATGTTCAATAAACAGGTATATGCATATTTATTTTTGGGATCTCTATTCTGTTCCATTGATCTATGTGTTTGTTTTTATGCCAATACCATACTGTTTTGGTTACTATGGCTTTGTAATACAGTTTGAAATTAGGAAGTGTGATGCCTCCAGCTTTTTCTTTCTCAAGATTGCTTTGGCTCTTTGAGGGGACTTTTATGGTTCCATACAAATTTTAGCATTGTTTTTTCTATTTCTGTGAAAAATGCTGTTGGAATTTTGATAGGGACTGCATTGAATCTATAGATTGCTTCATGTAGTATAGACATTTTGACAATATTAATTCTTCTAATCTGTGAACATATAATACATTTCCATTTATTTGTGTCTTAATTTCTTTCATCAGTGTCTTATTAGAGTTTTCAGTGTATAGATCTTCCACCTCCTTGATTAACCTTATTCCTAGGTATTTTATTCCTTTCAATGCAACTGTAAATGGGATTGTTATCTTAATTTCCCTTTCTGATAGTATGTTCTTAGTGTATAAAAGAGTATTTCCAGAGAAGTTTTTTTTTTTTTTAATAAAACTTACTAAGTTCTTGTATACATGAAAATATTTTTAACTTACTCTCATAATTAAGTGATACTATGGCTTGGTTAAAATTTTAGGGTTCAAAGTTCTTTTTTCTTCAACATATTGAACACTTAACTGTTTTCTTGCATTTAGTGTTGACATTGAGAAGTCTGGTATCAATTTAATTTTTCTTTACAGATGATTTACTCTTTGTCTTTGAAAGTTTTTAGGATTTTCTCTTGATCTATGATATCCTTAAATTTTACTATAATGTGTCTAAGTGTAAGTTTTTAAAAATTATTCTCTTTAGCACATAATGATGTATTTCAATATGAAGTTTTTCATCTTTAATTACTGGGAAATATTAAGTGATTATTTCTTCAAGTGCTTCTGTTTTCTTCTTTCCCCTTCCAAGTCCTACTACAGAGATACTGAAACTATTTCTGTCATATGTCTTATATCATCCATGTCATCTTCCACCACATTAACTTGTTCTTCTCCTACATCTAGTTTGCTCATTCTATTAAAGCCATCTGCTGAGTTCTTCATTCCAGCAGTTATATTTTCACATGAAGCACTTGCAAATTATTTTTCTTCATAGGTGCCTTATCCCACTCCATGTTACCAAGAGACTTCCTTTTTAAAAAAATCTTTCAGATACTTACTGTGCCTATTTTAAATTAATATTCTGGTCTCAGAATTTTGCTATATCTAGCATAGGTTATTCAGCTTGTTTTTCTTTTATACCAGTTATACTTCTGTATATTTTATTAGCTTTTCAGATCCATCAACCTGTCTCTCACTCTGTGGTTTATCCAAGGTTTCTGTTCTGAGGAGGGAGATCATTTGTTTTCCAATTTTTAGAATTTCTTTGTAGGAGCTTGAGATATAAGCAACTAAATCTTCATGTTCTACCATAATCAATACTCAGTGATAGTTATGTTGAATAGAATGAAAAAATAGTAATTCACCTGAATTTTTCACTAAATGTTTCTCTTTTTCAGTGGTTTGTCAACTTCAATCTTAGATTCTTCTGAATGGCCTCAACTTAATATTTTCTTTACAATGCATCCTCTAAGCACTACTCCTTACAATAGTAGACTTCAAAACACTGAATTTAGGAAGATGAAAACAAGGAAACCACAAAAAAGAGAGCAAGCATAGAAGCAATAATTTCTATTCATTGGAAATATCCATTTATTTTACTACCTACATGAACTAACTATGCCAGATAAGTAAGTAATGCCAATCTGTGTTTTCTAGAACCCCAAACCATCTCAAGTTATGGTGCAATTATGTGTTTAGTTGCTAATTGTATATCTAACATTAATAGATATTTTTTAAAAGAAAATACTTAGACATGTACAGATCTACATGCAAATATTGGCTCCGTAGTTTACTATTTGTGTGACATTTGGAAAGTTAATTTCTTTAAGCCTTAGTTTTCTGCTCTATGGAGACATATTAGACACCTCCACACACTGTAGTAAGAATTGAATTAGAAACTTTTAGACATATGATAGAATAATAGTGACAGAAATAATGATAGAGTAGATAGATACTGTCTAGGGCATATTCCTATTCAGGAAATTGTAGATATGATTATGAAGCTGCTCTTTATATTATTTTTTGATTGATAATTTAAGAGGTCTTCTAAAATGTTTAATCCCATAAATATTTATGTAAGTATTTCTAGAATAATGTTAAGGCTATTTTCCTGTAGATATAAAAATAAAAGTATAACCCCAAAGAACCAGCAAAACACAAACCCAGCATTCTTCTGAACTTTGCAGGTCTGTAGTCTTTCTCCTGAATCAAATATGCATTTGAGTGCACGCTAATGCTGTGCTTATGGTATATTTAAGTTGCACATTCCTCCACTACTATGTATTCCATGTTTTATATTTTAAAATGGGGGGGGGGCGCCTGGGTGGCTCAGTTGGTTAAGCAGCTGCCTTCGGCTCAGGTCATGATCCCAGCATCCTGGGATCGAGCCCCGCTTCAGGCTCCTTGCTCCACAGGAAGCCTGCTTCTCCCTCTCCCACTGCCCCTGCTTGTGTTCCCTCTCTTGCTGTGTCTCTCTGTCAAATAAATAAATAAAATCTTTAAAAAAAAATGGGAACAATTAATAATGAAAAATTGTTTGGAATTTTGAAAAAATTGGTTTATCAATGATTTTATTTCTCCTTCAATTTGTTAGTGCCCAAAACTGATTTGAAAAAACCTTAAGAGCATAAAGCAAAAGGAGAATATACTTTAAAAACAGTAATCTTTCAAAAGCCCAGAAATTATAAAAAAGAAAAGGCATAAAACTTCCAACTTGTCAAGCTTTTCCGCTAATAAATAAAACCAACCAAACCAAACCATGTACTTCAATATAGCCGTTCCATCTTCAATTTTTATAATTTTTTAGATTGAAATTATTAAAAAAAATAGAAAAAAGGAAGAAAAACAAAACAAAACAAACTTTACAACACTCTTCCTACCTTTCTTAGTGGTGGTTATTTCCAGTCATATAACATTTATTTTCTTTCCAAGCTTTTATGTTTGCAATTTTGAGGAAACCAATAGCAAAAATCACAGCAAATACAAAAAGTAGAAGAAATCCTTATTTGTATTTTTTTTTTCAGAACACATCATGCTTATATCTAGATTGAGTACCTTAGCTGGAAAGCCAGTTGAACCAGGACATCCCTTTTTCCTTAAGGTTGGTGTGTGAACTGGAGGAGGAGTACTGTCTACAATCTGAATCCAGGAGCAAAAAAGGAAATAAATGTCATGAAACACTCCATCTATTTCACATATCACTAAAAATAAATCAAAGTAAATAAAGCCAAGCAAGACATCAATAAGGCAAAAAATATCTCAATGAAGCTAAAATTCTCATAGTGTTGATAATTTAAATTTCAGCCTGCAATGTCTACAAATGAAATAGTTGCTCAATTAGCAGAAAAAAAAATTTGTCTGGAAATTTAAAAAGAAATGATTCAGAAAAGAGAATCCACAGAAGAAAACAAAAACGTCACAGCATACAGCCTACATAAAAATGAGGATATTAATTTTCAACTTCATCTGAAAATGCACATTAATTATTAAAAGTATCTGATTTTTAAAAAAGGATTTAAAATAAAAATATTTAGAAGATTCTTTTAACTCCTAACTTCTATACACAGAATGTATGTTACACATATGGAACACAATTCAGTGGATTTGTGTGTGTGTCTGTGTGTGTATGTAGAAAGAGAGGGAAAGAGACATTGATTAGTGGGATTTTGTGCAGAAATCAATTTCCAAAGAAGGGAGTTAGACTATTTAGTATTATTGGAATTCAGAACCTAACATACAAATTCAAAAGTTAAAAGCCATATCTTTATAAGACATTAATGTAAGATATTTCTTTCAATGAAAGGAACCAGTGATTTTACTGGAAAAGAGACATCACTTGATTAGCAAAGTATTAAAAAAAAGGCACAAAGAATTACTTCGTTTTAGGATGCTAAGCAAGCAAACAAGATGAAAAAACTAGCTTTGAATAAAGTTATAGAACAGTCTAAAATATTAAGAGAAAAATAAATGATCTCTCTTTGTCTTTGTTACTATATAAACAGAGTATTTTCTATGCCCTATAACCTTAAAATGCAATTGAATTGGGCTTCTCAGAGTTTTCTGCTTGTGAGTTTACTTCTAATTTAAATTTACCTTTAAATAGCTTGAAAAAGTTTTGAACCCAATTATAAACTAATGTTTAAAAATGTAAACATGAGAAATTAAAGAGAGGAACACTGGAAACCTATATAAAAGTTAATAAAAAGCAATAGGAAACAAAATTGACATTATAATTTACACAGAAAGCCCAAGAGAAGTTTAGAAAAAAAGGAGTGAAGTAAGGGTGTTGGATACAAGATCAACAGAATTCATGAAGACCATAAGAATATATATTTGGAAAAGATTCCATTCACTGCAGTAACAAAAACTTTAAGGTACCTAGGAACAAATGTAACAAGCAATATGAAGTAAATTCATAAAGAAATTAACAAAACTTTACTGAAAGATATAAAAGAATATCTAAGTGATAATATGTATACCCTGTTCATAGATGGAAAGACCCAATCACAAAGATGTCAATTCTCCTCAGATAAATCTATGAAATTCAATGCAATTTCAATCAAAGGCTCCACATGGAACCTGACAAACTGATTCTAAAAGTCATATGTAAAACTAAAGGGTCAAAAGGAAAAGGAAAAAGAATAAGGTGGGTGGGAGTGGCTGATTATACCAGGTGAATTATTTTAGGGTTACAGTAACTAAGACAATGTGATATCGATACAGGAATAGACAAAAAGAACAACAGAAGAGAAAAAAGAACCCCCAAACAGACCCATATATATAAGGCAGAGATTGTTTTACAAATCAATGGGGGAAATATAGTAGAGTTGGCTGTTCATATGAGAAAAATAGATTTAGAACGCCATTTCACATAATATGTAACAATAAATTTCAGTTTAAGGTCCTAAACAGGCAAAATAAAAAATTTTAAACTTTTAGAAAAAAGTAGGGAAGAAAAATTTTAAATGCTGCATAGGGAAGAACTGCTTTAGGAAGACATAAAAAACATAAGTCATAAAGGAAATGATTGATATATATAAGCCTACTTTAAAATAAACACTGTTGCAAGACAAAAAGACACCAAATAAAATTTTAAAATAAGCCACGGACTGGAAGAAAAGATTTGCAGTGCATATAGCCAGCCAAGGATTAGTATCCAGATTACATAAAGAACACTTACAAAAAATAGGAAAAATAATTCAGTAGAACAACAGACAAAAGACATAAACAGGCAAACCACCAGTGGTCAATAAACATAAAAAGATGCTGAATTAACACTTGAGATCAGAGAAATGCAAATTAAAAACAAAAATGCCACTCCATACCCATCAAATTGGCAAAAGTTAATGTCTGACAGTACCAAGGGTTGGTGAGGATGTGGGAAAATGGGGAACTCTCACATATTGCTGGTGGGAGTGAAAGTTGGTCCAACCACTGTAGAAAATAATTTGGCAAAATCTAGTTAAAGTTGAAAATGCATATACCACACAACCCAATAATTCAGCTTCCAGGTATATATATGCTAAACAAACTGCACATTTGCAAAAGCAGATAGCTACTAGGATGTTCACTTCAGCACTGACTGTAATAACAAAAATTGGAAACAACCTAAATATCTAACAATAGGAGAGTGCATAAATGGGGTATATTCATAAAATGAAATATTATGTAACAGTTATAATGAATCAACTAAATGGACGCATATCTGCATGAGTCGAGCTCAGAAGCATATGCTGAATGAAAGAAGTTACAGAAAGATAAAGCTTTATGTTTGTGTAAAACATAAATATAAAACAAACATTCTCATATATTGTTTATGGATACAAATGAAGTGAAATTTAAAACGAAGGAAGAGGATGCGCATCAATTTCAGGGTCTTTAGATATGTCTGAGTAAGGAGAGAGGGGAATGGTATAGGGAAGGGTGTTTCAATTCTCTGGAATATATTCTTTCTTTGAAAACAAATTTGAAAAGGACAGGGCAAAATGTTCACATCTGTTAAATCTGTGGATGGTGGTTACATGTGTGTTTATTATCCTCTGTATGCTTGAGATATTTCAGCATTAAACATGTATAAGCTCGAAATATTGAAACAATGATTAAAAAAAAAAAAGCAGAGATGCATCAACTTAACCAGTCTGAGGTAGTCTGTCACAAGGTTGTAAAAAATCAAGTCAGAATCTAACTACAAATCACACTTCACTTCAGACAGCTTTCCAGAGCAGACTGTCTGCTTCCCTTGAACACGAGACACAGCTCTAGAGAGAATATGGGGAAAAAAGGGGCTCTGTCAGAACTGCAAGCTGAGTGAAGAATTCAAATTGCATCTCGAGGCAGGAGAGCTTCACCGAGGCATGACATATCCTTCTCACTCGTTGAGGAAATGACCTCTGTTGAGAAAACTGGCTGACTGGCTGTTTGAAACCACTGACTTAACATGAGGTACAAAACAACACTGTTTTTGTATTATTAAAAGGCATGACATAGTTGAATGCCTCTTGCGGACTGAGCAGTTAGAATAAACTATTCAGTGGCCAGCAGTGGCAATTTTCATTTTAAGCTGTACTTATGAAGTAACAGTTGTGTAGGTCTTATTATATTTACTGGACGAATTAAAATACGAGAATGGCACCTGACACTGCCATGTGACTACCAAGTTTATATCTGACAATTCCAAAATTGAGATAACCCTGCCCTCTGCCCCACATAGTCCTTTACTTAAAATAAAGGCTACCTTTATAAGTAAATAAGTATCTGTCTATTTTAGGTTGAATCTGTGGGGGGCAACTTGTGACTTTTGTTTTAGAGTCGTATTTACGTTATCAGTCAAATGCAATCATCTCCAACAGATTGTGACTTATTATGTAATATATTTGATTAAAAGAAGAGTCAGATTTCACTTGTTTTTGCGATTCCCTCTTTCCTGACACAAGTGAAAAGTTGGGAAGCAAGACTGCTCCAATGAGGCACCTTAACTGGCTCAGCTTCACTAGATGTGGAAGGAGATGTGGACCTTGACTGGATGTTAACCTTGACGTTCGGATTCCGTACATATGTGTTCTCAACGGGATCGGTCTAGGAAGATAAGTCGGGAGAAAAAAAACCCAAGAAATCACTTTCAAACAATGTGCAGCTCTTAGCAAATTTCTGTAAGGCATAATCATGATAACATTTCTTGAGAAGAGGAAAACAAACTTCGGTTTGAATATTCACCTTTGGGATGTGTCATCACACAAAAGCATAACTGCTAGCTTTAATGTAAACAAAGATAAAGACAACAGTTAACAAAATGCTCCCATCTTCACTGCCGGTCTCCGACTTTGAGCACTGGTCTCCACTACATGTTCTTGACTTGTATTCCACAAATGAAATCATACGTGTGAATTAAGTGCAGAGTACTTAACAGAGTATGTGCTGCAGATCAGAGATAATTTTGTCCTTCATAAGAAGGAAATTTGGTCATCTACCAAGCATTACTTGAAAGTAAAAGAAACTAATTTATCAGTTTTGTGTCAGCTGAGGGCAACACTACTTTTTTATTCTGCAGCAGAAATACCAGCACTTATATTCAGTTGCATCCTTTTAACCAAGTATTTTTAGAAACTCAAAATGCTTGGGGTTAAAACTTAGCATTAAAGACCTTATGGAGCATACCAATCGAGGATATATTCAGTTTGGCAGTTTTTGAAATTACCAGGATTGCATTTTTGAAATGAAGGGCAATGAAAGCAATTTTGAAAAGAGGTTGGGGAATTTGTTTCAACTGTATTGTACAGCAAGAACAATGCTTAGATCAGAAGCTACAATTCAATAAAATGAACAATCAGCTTAAGGATTTTAAATAGGTACTTAAAATATTTTTTCTTTTCCTTTACTATTATTATGGTTACTCTTTTAGGGACAGGCTAGTGGGCTGGCTAACCCTGCCGGAGTCCTCTGCTGGGCACAGGCAGGTTTTCTGGCAAACCAAAAGGCAAGACTTTGGTGGGGATGACTCACATAGCTCCCAACCAGGCCTTAAACCTTTAGTTACTGCGCTCAGGGCAAGTGGGGAGAAGAAGGGTCTCTGGGAGGGCATCTAAGGAACTTGGAGCAGCAGCTATCTATGTACCATCAGCTAGGAAGGTATTTCAATATTTTAAAAACTGGAACACCTGAGCTGAAGCATACCAGCTGTATGTCCGCTCTAAAGTGTGCAGGGTGGCTGATTTCAGAAAACTAGTACAGCTTATGAAGTGGGAGAGCCAGGCCCGAATCCCACTCCTTGACTTCAAATCCAGTATTATTTTTGTGGTACCAGAGGCATCTCCACATTAAAGGTACTCATAGCAATTTAATGGTCATGGAGAATGAGTTACATGATCTCTTTTCCTGACAGTGAACTCTGATCACGAACAGGAGAGTGGAAAAAAAGAAACTGAGACTCTTAAGACAAGTTTTGCCCAGTTCACAATTTTACGCAGGGAGAGTCAGGGAGAAGGTACTCCTTTTAAATTATTAATCTGGAATATAAATCTGGGCTGGAGATAGGGCAGAAAGATCCTACTTTCTAGAAATCTCCTCCTTCTAGTTTCCATACAATTACATAAACTGCAAGCTGAGTAAGAGGGGAGGTGGTTCAGTTAAAATGGAATTGATAAGCAAAGCAGTCCTGATGCATTTTACACTAATAAGAACGTAAAATGACCTCAAATAATCAAGTTAAGTAACTCATAAAGTTCTAAAGAAGTGCCCAAGTAGGGGATTTGCTAAGTGTGAAAAACTGGGCATTTTAATAAAATTTAAGTTTCTGATCTGTCACACAAAAGCCTGTAGCCCATAGCTTGAGCCAAAGAGATAAAAGCAGAAGTTCCTGTGCAAAGAATAATGCTGTGAATGGGATTGGACAGCTAATATAGTGGCTTTCTGCCTCTGGTCCAATTACTTTAAAGATACCTCAAAAATGAGAAAGGCAGGAGCTTGCTGTATTCAGGAGTACAGGCTGACAATTGAAAAGCAGATCTGCTCTTTGAGCCCTGTGAACACACACTGGCCAGAGGTAAGCATGCGGTTTGATTACTTCTACTTTCTTGCACTGACATTAGAACACGCTGCCTTAAGACATTTTGTCAGCATGTGCCGCTGGGAGGTATACACCACAGAAATCATCACCCCTAAAAATCGACCCCACCCCTTGCCCCCACCCCATAGTTGGTTCTTCAAACATTCACCATCATGTTTCACGACCCTATGAAAACTGTGACATGATGACAGTGTGATACTGAACAAAGGGAAAAATACACCATCAAAGTTTAATCCTTGATTACAGAAATCAGTGATTCTTAAAGAACGCTTGAGGCTTTAAATACATACCTCTTGGCCCTTCTTTAGAATTACTGTCATTTATAAAAATTCTGTTTCTCCTAACAAGTTTTTAACTCATAAATGAAAAAAGAAAACAACAGGAATGAGAATAGATTTTAAAATGATTTTCTTAGCTGCATGAGGTAAAACTGGTTATTCAAAAGAGGAAACATTTAGATTTAAAAACTAACCCAATACCAATTCTAATAAAATAGAATAATAAAAATTTGCATACCAGCTTCTTGGAACTATATGCTCTTAAAATAGATTCCAGAGATTAAACAAAATCAGGTAGTTTTTGTTAAAACAGATTAACAGTAAGTAAAAATATCTGAGTAATATTTTGAGATGGCATTGAGTATATTTAAAAAGTTGAGCTACGCCATTTATGATGATACTCTGGTTTTTAAAAAAAACCATGAATGTATAAGCGAAGTTTAAAAATTACCACTTTATTTCTCAAAAGTGTGTTTCTTAGAAGGACAAGGAATAAAGTTTGGTAAAGATGAATAAAACTCATGGCAATAACGTTTTGAATACTGAATTAACAAATTTTTTCCCACATCTTCTAAAAGCTATTAGAAGCTAATACCTGTTAGATTAATAGATTTACACATTTCATTTCCTTTCTGGATTACTGTCAGTGTAAACAATATCTAAAAAGAGGTTTAATAGGAAAAATAAGAAAAATATAATACCACTTACATATTTTCTAATTCAAAGTGTTAATTACCACCAGCAGGACTGGTTTTTCAAGATGTTATTAATTTTATCTATAATTACATGCTTACTGATACATTTATAATTAAGGACTTATTCTATCCACTAAAAAGCAATTAATTTTACTGAGCTTTCAGAATACTCAGTAACTATAAGCCATACTTTGCAGACAGCCTAAAATTAACTTAATAATTAATTGGCAATGATTCAGATATAACATGGCAGCAAAGCATCTGATTAATAGCACATCGATTATGTTTACCTTCCAAACCTTTATCGTGGTTATAATACAATCGTTAATAGTATACTTAAACCATGGAAGTTAAATTCTTTGTGTTTCGAAAAACTATATAGCATTAAATGTAAGCAATGACTTGAATTAATGATGCAGGAAAAGCTGATAAACATGATATACATCCATAGCAGAGATATCACAATTCAATAATTGCATTTAGCATTGTAGAAAGAATGATAAAAAGGAGAAAATAGTGAAAAGCAATACATAGCTAATATTAATTGGACAGTACCTGCTGATAGTATCTGGAGGAAGATCTTGGAAACAAATCTTAACCGAACCATATAAGCAATTCACTCAATATTTCTAAGCTGCAATCTACTGAGAAAGATGAGGAATATCTTTATGTAAATGTGATTTTTTTCTATTTTCTGGTTAACTAATTCTTTTTTCTAAGTAAACCTACTTCAAGGAGTTATTCTGATGAACAGGCATTAGAAACATCTACCACACTCCAATGTCATTTTTTACCTACTGCTCTACTCTTCAGGGGGAAAAAAAGAAAAACTGAATGAGTATCAGCAGTATCATCCACAATACATAACACTGTCATGTAAAAAGTCCATAATGTTTCCTGAATCTATTAGGATGTCCCTACTGAGTGATCCACAAAATTTATTTTTAGAGTAGTGCAGTAAAATAGAAAAGTTTTCTTTCCCCCTAGGATCAGATCTGAGTTTTAGGTGAACTCCTCAAATTATGCAGTATGGTTTTCTGATAAATAATAAAAACAACTAAAACAACTCATCTTGAACATGTATCAATGGGCCTTTTCTACTCCAAAAATAATTATAGATTTGAACAAACACAAGAAGCAAAACATTCTCATGAGAAACCTGGTTTTAAAGTAAAAGATACCAAGATTTGATACAGATTAGATATAGATTTTTAAAAAAGCTTACATCTAACATGTTGTTTGGTATTTGTAAATACAAAACTCTAAATTAACCAAAAAAATACAATTTTCATCAATTATCTTTACCCCTTAGCTAGAAGTATTTTCGAAACAAAGTGGCAAGTAATCCAATTTTTTGTATTAAAGAAACACTTCAAAACCTCAAAGTTTCACTGATATAATTTTTTTTGTTAACTGAGCTTATGATAAAAAACAGTATTATGGAAATACTGTATCATTTGGAAAACAAATCTAACATTTTATTGTCCTAAAACAAAAAATAAATCACTGAAGGTTACGACTAGTAAGTGCAATCTTACTAATTACAAATAATATAACTTGTTACTATTTCTGAAAATTTCTCCTTATTTTCAATATATCGACTTGAAAATCTACTCTGGAGAATTTACAAATGTTCTCAGAAAACATAAAAGAAACTTAAGTTACGTGTTAGCTATTTATAATCTCTCTTCCAAACTCTAAAGGAATAATCTAAAATGAGACATTTAATGTTTCTCACTATTAATGAAAACACTGTGGACCTTTCCATAACCACTTATATTCAGGCATTAATGATAATAAGAAATCTTTTTTGTGCTATGCCTAATTGAATAACACCGCTTAAAAAGAACGTATTCAAATTGTAAATGGAAACTTATAGTGGACTGGAAATAAAAACACAGCAAACCTTGAACAGTGATACCTCACTTATAGGACGTGTAAGAATCCTAAGAATTTTAAGTTTTTTATATAAAAGTATTACTTACTGCTTGTCTGAAAACACAGTCACTGTTGGATTCAAGGCCACTGTTAGGAATGGTA